GCTCATATCCTAGTCAGCAAACGTGATAGACATTTTTTTTCTGTGCAAAATTAATTTAGTTGACTACCTCTTCACTATATATAAACGACCTCCCATAACATGAAAAATTACAATTCCATTCATTAAAAAAAAATGGCTCTCAAATTTACAATAATATGCTCTATCATATTACTCGAAATCTTAAAGGCTCAATCAGCCAATAAACTCCCGCCATTCTCGTGCGACTCGGCCGCCACATCGACAAAGTCGTACCCGTTCTGCAACTCCGACTTGCCGATACCCGAGCGGGCCCACGACTTGATATCCCGACTCTCGTTGGACGAGAAAATCTCGCAGCTGGTCAACAAGGCGTCGGCCGTTCCGCGGCTGGGGATACCGTACTACCAGTGGTGGTCGGAGTCCCTGCATGGCGTCGCGGGGTCCACGACAGCGGACTCCGGCGTAACGTTCGACGAGACGATCAAGTCGGCGACTAGTTTTCCTCAGGTCATACTCACAGCATCTACATTCGACGAGAATCTTTGGTATCGAATTGCCAAGGTATATTAATTAGTCCATTACATAACTATTTATTTATTTATTTATTTTTATTTGAAGTGAGGTATTATATTATTGGGATTTACTTAAATAACGTGGCATGTGAGTTTCCACGTCACTGCTGGCTATATTACTATTATAATTAATCTACTTGATTATATATATATATATATATATATATATATATATATATATATATATATATATATATATATATATATATATATATATATATATATATATATATATATATATATATATATATATATATATATATATATAAATGGTCAGCTCAGCTGATGTAGCCTGTAGGTAGTTACAATAACTGCTGTAGTAGCTGCTTTTAAACTACTACAATATAACTTTTAGTTAAACTGCCACTTGACTTATGATTTATATGATATGACAACATAAGCTACTTGAATTTTAATTTTAATTGCGTATTACATACTTATCTAACTCTTTGACCTTTAGATTAATCTTTATCCATATATATTTAGATTTGTTTAACTAAATAATCTTTCTACCCGCAATTAGCTTATAAGATGTTTCAGACCTTATAAGTTCTTTCAAAGTATTTGGTAATTTTCAAGAAATAATCTTAATTTTTTTAAAAAATATGCTGTTGGAGAGTAAATAAGATTTTTTTTTAAAAGTACCTCTACCGCATATTTTTATTTAAGATCTTATAATGTATAAAAATAGCTTAAAAGATCGTTATCCAAACACTTTAAAAATTTAGTTCTAAAAATAAGATGTAACAGCTTATCGGCTCTTAAAACATATTATCAGAACGTAAGAACTTAGCAGCTGCTTAAAATAAGCTTAGCCAAACGGGTCAATTAGACTTTGTTTGATGTTTGGTATCCCCATAACTTACCGGGTCGACCCGTAAATATATGTTATCATGTCTTAACTTGTCTTTTAGTATGGGTTTTATTGGATATTCAAAGATCCAAAAAATATAGTTGGGTTTCATAAAATTATTCAATTTTATCTTGACAACCAAACGAGACCTTACAATATATAATTATTAGAGTCATAGAGTGGGTTGGAGTCCACCCTAAGCAGAGAGTGGATCCGCCACTGGCTGTCTCTAACGCCGTATGCACCATATGGTAATTCAAAAAATTCTTGTTCGACCCGTGATTGTTAGATTATATTGGCGAATATTCACTATTGAGCTATATATGTGTTCTTTATTCGTCGATTTTCGAATAATTTTGTTAGCTAACACATATAAGTATGCATTTGAAGGTGATGGGCAAAGAAGCTAGAGCTATATACAATGAAGGGCATGCAGTAGGCATGACATTTTGGTCGCCGAACGTCAACATTTTCCGAGATCCGAGGTGGGGAAGGGGACAAGAGACACCTGGCGAAGACCCTTTTATGACAAGTAAATACGCCGTCTCGTTCGTTCGAGGAATCCAAGGCGACAGTTTCGAAGGGGGTGACCTTAGAGATGGCCATCTTCAAGCCTCCGCATGCTGCAAGCATCTCACCGCCTATGATTTGGAGAGTTGGAACGGAAATAGTCGTTTCACGTTCGACGCTCTTGTATGAATTTCTCTCCAACATTACATTACATTACGACAAATGTTTAGAATAAATGAATTTTTTTTTCTAAAGAAAAAAATGTGTTGATTGTTTTGAATAGGTGACGAAGCAGGATATGTCGGATACATTTCAACCATCTTTTAAAAGTTGTGTGAAGGATGGTCGAGCGAGTGGGGTTATGTGTGCTTATAATTCCGTCAACGGTGTTCCAAATTGTGCTGATTATAATCTACTAACGAAAACCGTTCGTGGGGAATGGGGATTTCAAGGGTAACTTACTAACTTCAATTAACTTGAAAAAAACAATTAGTATTCTTGTAGATGTTCATCGTGTCTCTAATTATTTAACCGAAAACAACCAGGTATATAGCATCGGACGATCATGCGGTCCCACATCTATACGAGATGCAAAAGTACTCCAAATCACACGAAGACGCTGTGGCCGATGTTCTCAAAGCAGGTAACTTAGCGTATAAACCATTGATCGACTTAATTTAAACAAAATAAATTCTAAAGACATTTTTCTTATCAAACTAAAAAAAAAAAAATAGGCATGGATGTCGAATGCGGCAACTATCTGGCGAATCACACAAAATCAGCAATCCAAATGGGGAAAGTGAGTGAATTTGATATAGACAGAGCCCTTCACAACCTATTCTCTGTCAGAATGAGATTAGGACTTTTCAACGGCAATCCAAGTCAACTTCCGTACGGAAACCTTAGCCATAACGACATATGTACTCACGAGCATCAAGATTTGGCGCTCGAAGTTGCACGCGATGGGATTGTCCTTTTAAAGAACTCTGCAAATCTACTTCCATTATCCAAATCCGAAACAAAATCTCTTGCAGTAATAGGCCCCAATGCCAATGTCTCGCAAACACTCTTAGGAAGCTACGCGGGCCCACCGTGCAACACGGTTACTCCACTACAAGGACTAATGAATTATGTCAGGAAAACCGAATTCCATCAGGGTTGCGAAACCATCAACTGCACCTCAATTGCCTCCAGAGAAGCGACGAGACTTGCCAAATCAGCAGATTATGTTGTACTTGTAATGGGAATCAATCAAGATTTTGAGCGCGAGGATTTGGATCGAGAAGACTTGGTACTTCCAGGTCAGCAACAAAGTCTTATCATGAGTGTTGCAAAGGCAGCTAAAAATCCGGTTATATTGGTATTGCTCTGTGGAGGCCCTGTTGATATTTCGTTCGCGAAACATAATCCTAAAATCGGGAGTATTTTGTGGACCGGATATCCCGGTGAAGCTGGAGGAAGAGCTATTGCCGAGATTATATTTGGTGACCACAATCCAGGTATATTTCTTCACAAAACAATTCTTATGATTCAAATGTATATATATATATATATATATATATATATATATATATATATATATATATATATATATATATATTACTAGCAAAAAGATTTATGTTGTTTTGTTTCGTTAGGGGGAAGGCTGCCTATGACTTGGTATCCGAAAGATTTCATCAAAATACCAATGACTGATATGAGAATGAGGTCCGATCCTTTATCCGGCTACCCGGGACGAACGTACAGATTTTATCAAGGCGAAAAAGTTTATGAGTTCGGCTATGGTCTTAGCTACTCAAATTATTCATACAAATTTATTAACGTTGGCAAAAACAATCTCGATGTCAAGAGATTATCGACCGCAAAGAGGCTTAAAAGACCGTACGAAATTCCAGTTTCGGATATTGGCTTCGAAAAATGCGAGAACGCAAAGTTTTCGGTTATTGTTAGCGTAGAAAATGAAGGGGAGATGGCCGGTAAGAACTCGGTTCTGTTATTTGTAAGGCGCGACGAAGCCGTTAAGGGTAGTCCAGTGAAACAGTTGGTCGGATTTCAGACAGTGAGATTAAATGCAAATGAAAAGGCTAATGTTGAATTTGAAATAAATCCATGCGAGCATTTTAGTAGTGCTAGTGAAGATGGGACAATGGTGATTCAATCAGGGACACATTACTTAGTTGTAGGAGATCAAGAATATCCTATCCTGCCAGCACAAATATTTGACAACAGCTGGCACTTCTTTTGAATTGTTCAATTTAATTATTTGTAATAAAACATTGTATTTCACCAAATTGTTTCAATTGTTTTATTTTTGTGGGTAGTTGAATTGTTCTAGTATATGAAAGTAAACTTGTTGATAGTTTATATCAAGGGGTTATCTGTTATAGACTTTGTATAATAGTTTATAAATTATGATTTGTTATATTATTTGATTGGGCAAGTTGTTGATACTAATAAATAATTGTTCACAATTTACATGTAAGGGGCTATTTGATATACACCCCTAGAATAGAAAATATATAGGGATAAGTTCACTCTTAAATTTTTTTCTTTGAGATACACCCCTGGAGAGACAAAAGTTTGTGCCCTTATTTATAAATTTTAACCAACTGCATTCAGCTTTTCCAACTGCATTCAGCATTATAGCTAACTGCACTCCACATTTTTAGACCTGCATTTATCATTTTTTCAGATTTTTTAATAAAAAATTATAAATTTTTATTTTATTATTATTTTTTTATACGCACCCTGTTTTTTAATTTTTAATTTTTAATTTTTTAATTATTTTTAATTTTTATTTTTTTTTTAATTTTCCTTTTTTAATTTTTTTAATTTTTTTTAATTTTTAATTTTTAATTTTTTTTTTTTAATTTTGAATTTACTGTACTAAAATTGACTACACATGACTATAGTATACCACAGTCATGTATAGTTATATATAGCCATGTACTATTTTTTTATCCAAAAGTTATGGTCAATCGATTATAAAAACCGTTGATTATATATATAAAAAATCATCTATACCAATAAAAAAATTCAAATTTGGATTCTTCATATTATAAATAATTTAATGCCTAACAAAAAAGTGAAAAAAAACACAATCATCAAGATCACTATACATCAGAAAAACCACATAGCTTGTATATAAATATATATAACTACATGAATGAAACTATATATGACTACAGTTATCTATACGACTAAATTTCACTCAAATCGCACTTATCAACACGAGAACCGCTTGTTTTGAACAACGAACACAATCCACTCCGCAAAAACATACTACATAGTAGTTCAAACACCAAGACCTGTGAAAAAGAAAAAAAGTTAAACAAACAACGAATTTTGCTTCAAATTTAAATGTGCAGACACGCACTATCACCTACTGGTATACATAGATACTCCCCACATAACTCATACATGACTACATATGACTACATGACTACATAGTTTATATATAACTATATATCACTACATGTGACTACACCATATATTACTGTATGTTACTACACGTAACTATATATTACTATATGTGACTACACCATATATTACTGTATGTTACTACACATGACTATATATGACTACAGCTATATGACCACATGTGACTATATACATGTATGTGACTTTATTTGTCCCTTCAAGTACCTGACTTTGTTCTCCAAGTGATACGAGACAGCTTATATTATCAAAATCAAATTACAAACAGAGTATGTTAGTCATTATTCTTCATATAACCAAAGGTCAAAGATCAAAGCAAGTTGAAGTGGAACACCATAGATAAAATAATAGTTGACACGTAAAGTAGTCACCTATTTCATTCTCGATAAATAAAATATCAATATCATATTACCAACAAAATATTCTCATCACGAATCTATATACTCCCAAGTACAAAAAAAAAGTAAACAAATCATCTGAGGACCAATAAACAGTGATTCACTATATTAAGAAGCACATTAAAATTCATTACCTTTTCTATGCCTTCAATGGATGAACAGTCAGTTTTGTCGCACCACCACCAGGAACAAGTTTCGAGTTTTTTTCTTTTTATATTTCTTGCCACAACAATCGCGTTTTATGTACAAATCGACTCCTAAAATTAAACTCACAGCTTCCCACGAAAAAATAAGAAAACATATTAAAACCAAAACTAAAAAAATAACTGCAAAATTCGATGATGGTTGTAAAAAAAATACTCTGGTGAACTCAAAAAATACTTGCAAAATTCAAATTACATTACATGAAAAATACAAAAAAACATGATTTTTTTTTTGTGATAAATTTATTGTACTAAAATCGATACAAATGACTATGGTGTACTACAAGTATTATAGTCATGTATAGTTATATGTAGTCATGACTATACATGACTACATATGACTGACTATATATGACTGCATATGACTAAATATAACTGTATATTCACCTGACTCAAACCACCCATGTAAATAACCACTACTGGTTAAATTTTTACTAAAGACAAACAAAGCTCTTACACTTGAGGCATTTCAAATCATCTTCAAATAAATACAAAAAATAAATTGCATATGATTTATAATAAAAATGAAAAAGATAAGAATCAAACAAAATAAAAAATTAAATTAATTAAAAAAAAAAGATTCTAATATTATTTTTTCACAAATCTCACGGTTGAGGCATTTTGAATCATCTTCAAATAAATACAAAAAATAAATTACATATGATTTATAATAAAAATGAAAAAGATAAGAATCAAACAAAATAAAAAATCAAATTAATCCAAAAAAAGAATATTTTGATATTAATTGTTCACAGATCTTCAAAAACATAGTAGATCTGATTTTTTTTTATAAGAAATAGTAGATCTGGTTTGAGCCCTCCTAAACAAAAAAAAAAAGAAACGAAACTAAAACAATAACGTAGAAATCATTTCAAACGGAAATAGATGTTTTAATACAGAGTTCAAAACGATGGGAGGAGCAACGATGGCCGGCGTAAGGCGGTTGCGGAACAGCGGCGTGCGGCGGTGTCGGAGCAGCGGAATACGGTGTCGGAGCAGCGGTGTAAAATAGTGACAATCGGCGCAAGGCGGTGGGGGAAGGAGATCTGACGGCGGAGGATTTGTAAGAGGGAGAGTTAGAGAGGGAGAGTTAGAGAGAGAAAGTTAGAGAGGGAGGCAAATTAGAGAGAAAAAGTTAGAGAGAGAGAGAGAGAGATGAAGAGAGAGGAGAAAGTTAGAGAGAGAAAGTTAGAGAGAGAGATGAAGAGAGGGGGAAGTCACGTGAGTTTGAGAGAAAGAGAGAGTTAGGGAGAACGCATGTGAGTGGAAAAAAGAAGGGTGGGCTAGGGTTTTGTGTATTGAATTAAAACTAAAAGGGTAAAATAGGTACTTCGAGTTTTCTAGAGAAAATTTGGGTCTCCCTAATTAAGATCAGAATTTGGGTTTTTGACTAAAGAGAAAATTTTTATTTGGCCTCCTCATATATATTTTCAAAACTAGGGGCTTATCACTCATTTCCCCTTAAATGTAATTCGACCTTTCCAAAAATATCGTTGTAGCACAACAATTTAATACATCTAATCTTAACCATGTTAAAGGAAATAGCGTGAAGCTATTGTTTTGATTTATTACACCTTAGTCTATCTTATGTGTGTGTTTATAAGAATTAGGAAGGTGGACGTGTGTTGCACGTCTTGTGTCACAGTATATTTATGAGATTCTTTTTATTTAATTTTTTTTTTTTGCTGTTTTTGATATATATTCGATAAAATTAATTAAATAGATAATGAAAATATCTAAGTTATTTGAAGTATATTAATATTATTTTTCAATAAAATCTAACATTTTCTGATATTTCAATACATTTAGATTCATACGTTATACTTATATTTTCATTCATGATCTTTTTTATTATATTTTAATCTTGTTAATTTGATTTTTTTTCCTCCAAAACTCTTAATGTGCTCCTGGTCATCATTAAAAGATGTTATTTTTGTAGTTTCAATCAATAGCATGTTATTTTTTTATTCATAACTGAAAATAGGAAAATAGATTTTCAAAACTATTTTGGTTATAGATTATGGACATGTAAATGATGTTTTCGATGAGGGTCGGGGATTATTAGAAATGTTTTTTGAAGTTCAGGCAACTTTGAATCCTAAAGAGTTGCGTAGCAAAGATGAGTGAATTAAATATGAGGCATGCTACAAATTTTCTAAATGTAAGAAGAAAAAAGAGATCTATCAAGTAGAGTTCTTAAGGGAAAGAAGGGCAACGTATAGAGAGATCCATGGTCTAAGAAAATATAGAGAGAGATTCAGCCAATTTATCATAATCTATCGAATGAGTTAAATAGTACAAAAAAAAATGAGATTATATTTGATACTTAAATACGTCATGCACATGCATCTGTAGTTTGGAGTTTCAATAGTTGCTGATGGTGTTGCTATTTGAATCTGAATTGTGATTTATCGTTTAATATCTGGTGCATCTGATGAGAATAACATATTATAGTTGTGTATATAATAAAAGTGCCTATATATTTGTGGTTACATTCATCAATGTAAATATTTTATGAATAAATTAATATTAAATTGATGATATGTTGTAACTTGTACCGGCTTTAGAATTAGGATTAAATACAGTTTAAACCCCTAATATATAATCTTTGTAACACTTACGCTCTTAAAGTTTCATTTGTAACATTTACCCCCTCAAGCACAATTTAATATGTATTTTAAATTCCAATATCTTAAAATATTATATATATATATATATATATATATATATATATATATATATATATATATATATATATATATATATATATATATATATATATATATATATATATATATATATGTATATATATATCTATATATATATATATATATATATATATATATGTATATATATATATATATATACATATATATATATATATATATATATATATA